AGTAACATAGTATTTAAATAAACTCAATAAAAATTAAAAAAAATAAAACCACAAGTAACATAGAAGGCTCAGCAACAACCAGCTTAGTAAACCCTCAGACAGGACTCGATTACCCCATGGTGAGATATAACAATTTTCTCAAATTTTCTTTCACTGAACTCCTTTTTGGACAAGTCCATTAGTGATTTAGTAGTAACAAATAGTATAACATAATTATTTTGTACCTGCAAAAGGGGCAGAGTTGGTGGGTGGTTGGGAAAATGGGGACAATGGTGGAGGGAAGGTGACTCTGGAGGTAGGATTGGTGTTGGAACTTTGAATATTCATGACAAGTGTATTATTAACAACTTTGTAAACCATGGTATATTAAAAAAAGGATGACGTTGATGCAGTTCTTTTTTATGGGCCATAAAGATACAAAAAAATAAAGAAGCTACACAGATTATTGTATATAATGATGTGTATGTATGGCCCCAGATAATCAGCAACCTGGGTGAACAGGTCAACATTTATTTATTTTAAGGCATATGTCAATATATTGTTAGATATGATGTTAGACCTAGGGAGGTTGACATGGATATAGGTAATATAATTTATATAGAAAATTACCCCATCATGAAGAGACAAATCCCCTATTTCCCACTTCCAGGCATTCTTTCCTAAGGAAACTTACGTACATTAGAATTGTATACTCAGATTTCTTTGTTTCTAACTTAAAAGAATCTTCATGACTTCTTGTGCAGAGGAAACTTTAGTTATAGGGGCCAAAGGGATGAGTCAAGAACTACTATATTTTGAGCATTGCTGGGAGGGGTGCCTGAGTGCAGTTACAGGAGAACCACATTATGTGGACCCTGAAAATAAAACAATAGTTTTAGCACCTTAATTTAACAGTTCTCCTGGTAGTATATTATAACATAATTTGTACTAAAAATCTTACAAATGGGCTGTATAGTTTAAAGGAAAGTTTTTTTAAACTCCACTCTTAATGAATGATTATTTTACGGTAACAGTAATTTTCAATTATGCAGGTTTATTATAAAAAAACACTTACTTAGAAGTAATTAAAATATATGTTAGTTTGGCATCTTAGGATAAGTTCAGCACAGCACTTACTGTGCAACACAACGTTGTCTATGCAGAACCCCTGTGATGTCACCGTGTCGAGAAACCATGTGCCATATGTCTTAACAATATTAATATCAGTGACAGTGAAGTTTCATGCACTCGTGTTTAATTCAGTGTAAATAATAAAATGTGATGAAGTATCAGATACTGGGTTAAGATCACAAGAGGTACTGTAAGATAGAGCTCTGTCCTTACAAATCTTATCTAAAAAATGAAATATTTATGAAATAAGTACTTGTACAGAATTAATCACTAGATTATGTCAGACTTGAGAATTAAGCAAGAACATCCTCAAGAGAAAAAAAATAATTTAGTAATTTAGTAATATTTTATTTTTTTCTAGTAACTGGAAGTAGGAGGGTGAATCATTTTATATAGGTCAGAAAAACATCTGATTAGCACAAACTTGCCTTGTGTTTGATCCTAACTCAAATGAGTGATAACATTACTGGAATTGTTAGTTCCCTTATCTTTTAAAATCACTGGTCTCCCTTATAAGTATTCTTTTTAAAAAAGCAAATTATATAACATGCACCTGTTTAACAAGAAATCTTTCCTTAGATTATGTAATAAAATCATAAAAAATTAAGTCAGTAAAGTATGATAATATCCATAAGCATTTGAATGTTCATATAATTCATATAAATTAAAATTATTTTGAGGTTCTGAAAGCTTTAGATTATTCTAAAACTGTGAGGCAATTGTTGCCTTTGAAGCAGGAAAGTTTAAATGTGAACCTAAGAATTCTTAGCCACTGGAGTGTGACTTCTTTGCTCAGTTAAAGTTAATTTATTATGAAAATCAAAATTTTAAAACTAAAAATTACTCACATCAAAATATATTTAAATATATGAGATAAGGTTTAGTATTTCCACTAATTGTCTATGTGAAGGTGACATCAGCTCTTGTTGTAAAGCATTTATATTTATATAAATTTATTTATATTGCAAAATAAAATATCAACAGTAACTCCACACAGGATGATATCCCACAGATAAGGGGAGAGACAAATTACTGTAGAACAAGACCAAAGTTCTACAGTACTTTGTAGAACTTTGTATAGGACAAAGTTCTGTGCTATAGGACAACCTTCTCCCTCTTTTTAAGATATCATCCCCTGTGCTTCTGAGCCACTGGCTATAGAGTGGACATTCCAGAAACTTCCTTCTTTAGTTAATTTGCTGGAGCAACTCACAGAACTCAGGGAAGTAATTACTAATTTATACCACTTTATTAAAGGAGATTGTAAAGGACATATTACCTATTGATCTAATAGGTAGATCCCCCATCTTCCAGTAGGTAGGTGTTACACCCACTAACTACCCCTGCGTGATCCCATCAACAGCCAAGACCTAGAGACTATAAAACCCAGCTCCTGGAAGGACACGGCCGCGAAGACATCTTATTATCTAGTTCTTACTCTTGGAGAACCTGGCAGGCTGAGAGTATCCTGCATGCATGGCAGAGTCTGGCAAACTCCCCGTGGCATATTTGATATGCCAAAACCCTGCAACAATGATGGGTCTCATTCCCCTGACCCTGAAAGAGCCTCCTATGTGGCACTTTCTAAAAAAAAAGGCTGGGACGAAGGAGGAAATAGATGAACAACAGGATGACAGTGACACAGTGATACAAGGTAGGTAAAAAGTTACATAGAGGAAGATCTGGGAGACTCTCAAGGTCAGGAGATCTTGGAGCTGGAGTGCATCACTCTCCCTCTAAGTGAAATACATACACTAACCTGGAAACACTACCTAAACATCATATTTTAGGATTTTATGGAAATTTCCCTCCATAGGCCTGGTCAACTATTGAAATCTATCTCCAGATCCTTGCTCCTGTGTAGGGGATTGGGGCTGAGCTGGGTATGGTGGGAGCAAAACCATTTACTCTTCTAATCATGACTTTGTCTTTCTGGTGTTCACTCAGGTCTCCAAAGAGGAGACCACCCAGAATTTCTTCAATGGAAGGAAAATAAAAAGATGCTCTTGTGCTCTTTTACTTTGGGGGTGGGAGGAATGGGGATGGCTATACTCAACAGAGCTCCTGGCTCTGCCTTAGGGCTTACCCATGGCTCTGCACTCAGGGATCACTCCTGGTGAGGCTTGAGGTACCTACACATAGGGTGCCAGATATGGAACTTGGGTAGGCCACATGGAAGGAAAGCACCTTCCCCACTGTACTATCTCTCCTGTCCCAATGTTCCTAGTGCTCTGATCTATTAGGGATTTACCAGTGATTTAGGAGCTTGTCCAGGAATTCGGGTAGAAACCAAAATATTTATTTTTTTTTATTTCATACTCACATAGTCTAAAAATTTACTATTTGTAAATAGTAATTTACTATTTACTAATTACAAAAAAAAAACCAAATCTTGGTCTTGTTCTACAGCAATTTGTCCTAAGAATTACATTTAAGTAAATAACTTGAAACTGTTCACTTTAGGAAGTCCAAATTAGTAAATGGTACATAAGGCATTATAAACATATATTTTCTGTGAGAACTCTACATAATGAAGAAGAAAATTTCAGAGTATGTACTGTTGATATTTTATTTTTCAATATAAAAATGTCAACCATGATATCTAAATACGCTGTTTGACGATAAAATAACTAAGTGAATTTTTATTGACTGATATATAACTAGCATGAGCTCAAGTCTGAAGAAGTCTCTGAAAGAAGTCTCTGCTAAAGTGTAACTAATATTCTGTAATCTAGTTTAGCAAGAAATTTTATTTCTATCAACTTTTCAACTTAGCTTTGTGCTTAGCTTTCTAGCCCTTCATAGAAACAGTTACGAAATCTTACTGTTACAAAAATATGAACTAAAGCAGAGTTAGTCTTACTTTGAGACATCATTCCTATTAGGAAGTTTACATTTGAGCACAAATATCTGGCTTTCTTTAGACATAACCTCTATACACAAGATATATTATAATTTTATCATAATTTCATCATAATTTTACTAGTTTCTCACTAGTTAAATTATAAGTAAACTAAAGATAGATTTCCTGGAAGGCATAAGCAACTTCAAATTATTGTCTTTTCTTTGCCTTTCTACTCCTAAATTATTTCACTCTGAAAAAATTGTAAAAACCAAAGGCATTTATTATTTCTAGAAATTAGAGGGAAATTTATTTTGAGCATAACATCAAGAATTTATGTTGATAAATAAAACAGAAATAAGTAGTAAAATTAGAGACTGTTATTTTAAAATGAAAGCACATTTCTTATCAGAGTATTTTGATTTTGGTTTTAAGTTACATTAAGATTTAAAACTGGGTAACTTTCAGTGCCTGAGGAAGGCTCAGTGGTAGAGTATCTACCTTGCAAGCGTGAGGCCTTGAGTTTGATACCTGGTACCACCCCTCCCCCCCCCCATGCTGAGTGCAATCCTGGCAACCTTGTCAGTGGAATCCTTAGTGCTAAAGGAAGTAGATACTCTCTGGTCCACAATATCCAACTGTGTGCAAGTTCTACAAGAAAGGTACATGACCACGGGGCATCATAGCAACACAAAATACCACCACCACAGAGGGAAGGAAATATTTAAAAAAAAAATTAAGTAGAAATTGTAAAAAAGATAAAGTTAATAAACCTCAACATCTTTCTAAAGAAACACATGTGAGTAAAATTCAAGTGTCTTTTTTAAGTCTTACTCTATTTCCTGTGGGACTCTGTTTCTTACTATTTCTATTTTTTCTATATCTCTTGAGTGTTTAAAAACTTATTCCGTATCTTCTGAGCATTGCATTTTTTTTTGGTAACTGAAAGCTTCAACAAGCCAAATAAAAATAGTGTTACACTTCTGTATTCAAGGTCCAAACGCAGTTTAAAAGAAAACCTTACTTGATCTTGATATCCTCCTTTCAGTTGGTGCTAGCTGTTCTTTCCTAGAGGACTGATCAATGTGGTAGAACTGCAGAGTGCTAAGGTAAAACATTATATTCTACTTTTTGAGTTTCTACTTCTGCTTATACTTCAGTGGTTTGGATAGCTTTCTAGCTGTCTTCTTAGAAGGAAAAAACTAAACGTTGTTATAGACATAAAACCTCAATTGCTAAGTACCCTATAAATGTGTTTCTTCTTTTTTTTCTTATTTTATTTCTGTACCATTCATCTCTTTAAGACTTTACCAGGTTAAAATCACTGTTCATTCATGTCATATTTAATATTTTTAAAAAGTGTTCTTAAAGCGCATTGACAGTTTTGTAGGAGAAGGGAATGAAAATATTAGTAGGAATCCCTCATAACTTCTCCAGGGAGAAAGAAAAGTTAAACTTCAATTCATTTCAAATCTCATTCACATGTTAACTATATTGAAATTTATTTTTTGTATTTATTTCTTAAAAAGTTTATTTTATTTACTTATCTTAAAAAGTTTTATTGTTACTGTAGTTAGAAGAACTTATTTCTTTGTGGGAGGGGGGTTGTCACACCCAGTGGTGCTCAGGGCTTACTCCTTGTTCTGTGCTGAGGGGTCACTCTTGGAAGGCTTGGGGGACAGTACTGGCTGGTGGCAATCAAACCAGAGAAGGCTATGTGTAAGACAAGTGCTTTAATTGATCAACTATAGCTCCTCCAGTGTCCCAAGAACCCTTTGTGGCACTCTTGCCCTCACACATAGCTCAGTTGTACTATTCAGCTGAAACGACTTTGGCCATTTGCTGTTTCTTTACTCTTTCTCCTTTTTATTATCAGAGAGATCTCTTGTGTGTGTGGAGGGGGAGGTGGGTAGATGTGTGTATAAGTAGGTGATGACACGTATACACACACCTATGCACACAGATAAATAAAGCTAGTCTCCTTAAAATTCACAAAATTGTAAACCAATGATAGGTTGATATTTGTTTCCCCAAAATTAAATCCTTTCAGAATTACATTAATTTAAAGAATTCATATTATGAATAATTGTGTATTAATACATTTTAAAGTTTATGTGAAATAGGTAAGTCCTACCAATATAAAATTTAGTAAGAATGAAGAATTTTTAAAAGATTTACAGGGAAAATATGAGTAGGCCTATAAAAGTGTAAAGTGTATTTTAGCCTAAGAAAGGAAATAATTTTAAAACACTTAAGAGTACTAAAGTCAAGATGCTTATGTTATGAAGTTTCTCACAGTTTGAGAGTATCAGAACTAAAACCTTAGTGCTTAATTCCTACCCAGGGCAAGCATATCTCAGTGTACAAAAGGATCACAGGAGCCAGGGATGTAGCTCAGTGCACTCACAGTCCATACAGGAATCTCTGGGTTTAATCCCTGCTGTCACTGCTTCTGCAAAGCAAAAACAAGGCCTCTCTGAATAACATATGCATGAATTGAATAATTTTAAATGTAATCACAAAATAGCCTTTTTGTAATAAGGGCACTATGGAAGAAAATTTTATTTTCAGTAGTTATGCTGCTTTTATCTGCCAAGTTTTATGTATTTGAAATAATTAATATTTTCAAGACTATATAAATATATGTGTATATATACATTATACATATATATATGCTCACTAAACCTACTTATTTTTGTTAGTTTTTGCTTAGGTTATTTTTCATGTTATGTTTTGTAAAATAAAAAATAGTGCCAAAAGATTAATAGTGTGAAGTTATTCTGTCCAAGCCAAATTGATAGCAAAAATGTTTTGACACTGATAACTAAGTCAAGATTATCTGATGGGGAAACCAGAATTTCTAAAAATACATAGAGAGACAATTGTGGTTTCATCCAAGTACTCTGCAGTTAGAAGATACAATAATTTATTGAATAGGATTCACAGAATTGAGTGGAAATTACTGTCTTTGTCTTTCAGCTGATGTTTTTTTCCCTTTTACTATTGAACCAGTGCTCTATAAAAAGGGCATCAGATAAAATGTCTCACTATTTTTAATATTAGTCTAACATTGTATTTTGTATTTTTTCACACAAATACTGTAAATGAATACCCTCTAAAGCAAATATCTGAATGATATTTGTAGCATATTTTTTCCATGTAGGAACAGTATGTTACATCACTTGCTTCTTTGAAAGGCTACAAGAAGATTAAGGGCTGGAGCAATAGTACAACGGGTAGGGTCTTTGCCTTGAATATGGCTGACCCAAGGTCAATCCCTGGAAATCCATATGGTACTCTGAGCCCTGCCTGCAGTAGACCCTGAGTGAAAAGCTAGGAGTAATCCCACAGTAACGTTGAGTGTGACCCCCAAAACAAAATAAAACAAACCCCCACAACAGGATAGAGACTGTAAAAATTGGACACAAACTTTGGTTTCCTTTTATTTTTTAAAAAATTTCTACTTCAAAGTAGCAGTCTCAAAAATGAAATTTACAGGTAATAAAAAGGACATACAAACTGGAATCTCAATAAACAAAAATATATTATCTAAATCTTAATCAACTCTGGATAACTAATCTTTTTCTTAAGTGTATCTAAAGGAACAAAACTCAACAAAAGAAAACCAAAACTGTGTAGGCATAAATATTTTCTTCATTTGTTTTGAGTGCCGCTTCTATTGTGAGGTTTTTGGGATTATATGAATTGCCTCTGATGAACAAGTTCATTGTTTCCAAAGCTGAAGAAAGAGACTTGTTCAAACCTAAACAGAGAAAGGACAACAGAGCCAAGGCCAAGGTTTCTGCTATTTCTACAATGTGCCTCTAGAATCCCTCCAAAATGCCACAAAAAATTGCTGGTGAGTTGTGAAAGGACCAATGTGACAGAATCCCTCAATTTGCCCTTTACATATTGCACTCTCTTTAATGAAAACTGCTTCAAATGCTTCTATTTTACTTTTTGAAAATTTGGTTGTGTCAAATTTGCACAAAATGACTCAATTTTTAATAACTCCATGATACTATATATCAGAAGGAATTAGAAAAAGAGGGGTCTTGGAAAGAGAATCAGGGTTATGGATATTGCCTTGTCTGTGGCTTACTCTGGGACATCCCCAGTACCACTTATGATTTCCTGCACTACCAGGAATTATTTCTGAGTACAGAGTAAGGAGTAAATCCTGAGCAGCAGTGGGTATGTCCCTAAACCCTTTTCCCTATTCCCCAAGAAGAGGGAGTTTCATGCAGCTTTAACTCTAGATTAAAGTCACTAGAGGTAACTATCATGAGTGATGCAAAGCAATGGCACTCCATAAAGAAGCAGGGGAAGTCTCTAGTAAGAATAGTGTTGTCTTTAAGTAAATCCTTATTTGATTTTTCTCCCCTCTGGTCATGTACTTTGGTTTCTGATTTGGCGTTTCTGTAATTTTGAATTGTATAAACTCGAATAACAAGTAATCACTAGTAGAGAATTTTCCTAATGAATGCAATGAATGCAACAAATTTTCTAATGAATGCAATGGTGGTGGAGACTATGGAAAAAGTGTAAGCATTAATCTAGTTAACAGAAACCGAATAATAGATTCTAAACTGTCATACTGACGATAACCATAGGGACTAAAAGATATTAGAGGAGTTTACTGTAAGAGAGATGTTCAAGAAACAGTAGAGATGAAAGGAGATAGCATTTCTGAGATAAGGTAACAACAGGGACTGAGGGGTTAAAATCTTGTGAGATAGATCTAAATGGAGAGAAGTGTTTGTCAGTGGGAAGTAAGGTTGAATTGCTAAAATGAGGTTTTGTTGAAGCATTTTTAAGGCAACAGAGAATATTTATTTAAGGTATATGTAGTGGCAGTATATATATATATATATATATATATATATATATATATAGCAAAAGCAGTACTTTACTGCTAGAAAGTTGGCAGTAAGTTCTGAATATTCAAAAGACTTGCTCTTTGGTATTAAAGTACTGATAGTAGAATATTTTATGTGGCACTTTTAAACATGCTACATTACTTCATAAATTTAAAACGTTGTATGCAATAGCAGGACATTTTGTAAGGACATTTTGTGCTGTTGTCAATAAGGTGCTACGGGGGGAAAATGACTTCGGAAGATGAACAGACCAATGACCTAATTGAATCCATATTATTAGTGTTAGACTTGTAAATAAATAAAATATAAATACATAATTTAAAAATTTTCTTAAATTCTCGGTGGAGGCTTACATCACCAGACCTTTGGTTTTCTCTAAAACCTAATAGTTATATTTATCTGGAGTAAAATTTTTCCTTCTTAGTTTCCTTCTGGCTTTTCTGGATAAATACTGTGAAAGCTATGCTTATTGAAGGACATGCACAGGAAGACTGGCAAAAGGTTTGAGTTAAATAATGGCAATTGACAGTATTCCAAAATGAACAGATTTTATTAATTAGAATCCAGGCTTGGAAAGATAGCTGCATTATATATGACATAAAAGATTGTAATTGTAATTAGGGAAGAAAGGAGAAAAAGAATGATGGGTGACTTACTAAAGAACATAAAATAATTTTAAAATAATTTTAGTGCCGGGAATTGGATGCAGGACTCATGCACGCAAGGCATGTTCTTTGCTACTGAGATACGTCTCCAGCAAGAATACATCTTAACTTTGAATAGTTTGATATGGCAGATAACAATTTGATCATAAAATTCTTGATAATCTCCTTTTAATTTCCCAATTCTGGCAGTCTTTATAAAACCGACTTTCAGTGCTCTGCATTTTGCAGTTAGATATGCCTTGAGGGTGGGCGTGGGGAAAAGAGCAGAGGTTTCTTCATATAATAACTCTGGATTACTCATAAGTCTAAATGTGAGCTCATATTTATACTCATATGTACCCATATACACATATTTCAGACCTGCACATACCCTTACACATACACACATATCATGTATTAAAAAGTCCTTACCTATTAGTGTAAGCCATTTCCCCTCTGACTATGGAAGGCCAATTGCATAAAACATACGTACTAGAATCACTGTGGCTATGTTTATGGAAGGTATGATAGAAAACTGAAGTGAATCAAGTGATTTGGGACTGTGCTAAGCCTTTAAAAAGATGG